TTTGTTTTTTCGTATCTTCTCTTCCTACTACAACAAACACTTTCCTCTTACTGTCAAATTCACTGGCTCTCCCAATAACAGTCAACCGTGGATCAATCAGTCTATTATTGACTCTTGTAATTTAAAAAATAGACTGTACAGGCATTTTCTGCGTAGCCCTACTGAGGAAAATGAGCGTGAGTACAAGAATTTCCAAAATCGCCTTACGGCCACTGAACTCACTGATGTGCCTCTCTACAGCCTCAAGAAATGGCTAAAGATCGTGATCACAAGCAAGTCTTTTATTTCCTATGTGTTGATCACAAAATGATTAAAACCAGTGTCGGTGTAAGAAATGAACATTATCATGACTTTTCAATTTAGCCTAATTTGGGAGTGATGATGCACAAAATGAGTGAAACAAGTTGACAACTTGACAAAATAATGTAGGCTTATGTTCAGCATATGTTAGTATGTCATCATGTACGTAGGCCTAGTAGTGACTAGTAGTACATGTACATCACATGATGTACTGATATGTATGCTAAGTCGTAAGTGCAAGTGCCCTGCCTAAAATTTTGAACTGCTTAAGTTATTAACAACAAACTGTTAGCCCAGGAAGAGTGGAAATCTGCCACTATTTTGTACGATCATAGCGCACCTGTGGTTAGTGGCGCTGACAAGAGTTGTCCTGCGTTCTCTCCCCTGCAACATTCGAAAGACGCTCCACCCACATGTACAGGGTCTACATCATGTAGCTCAGGCCTAGGTCTACGTGTACTTACCCGCAAAACATGGTAACCTTCCGTACCGCCACCTGGCACTTCGACGCTTGCTTTACCGCCCATTCTCAGATAATTCACGACATAAAACACAAGAGTATATAACAAATACACCCAGAAGGTGAAGAACGGGCTAGAATCAGCAAAGGTGGTCTTGATAGGATAAAATACAACTCTTGATTTTGGTTTTTGAGCCAATAACACTGCTTGCCAAATGTGTACCGTATGCGTACGAAGTTCGCTCGGTGGTTCCCACCTGCATCTCCTTTGACAAATCGTTGTCATCCACGGGCACCAACCATTTTTCGGTCAAAATGGCTTCCTACGTGGCACTTGGGCCTTTATGCGGAATTGATTGGTTTAAAGGTGGACTCCGACGTTTTGTATCAATTTTAATTTTCAGTGGTGGGCGCCGCCTTTGCGCTGGGCGCCACCGCCTTTATTACAAATACAATGTTCTAAATTTTTAAAGTTCAATCTTTTGGAAGGCGCATTCCTTTTTACACCCTGAAATGCCCATAGTGCGTGATTGTTGAAAATAATGTTGCCTTTTTAATTAAAATACACGTACATGTAAGTTCAAAATTAACTTACATGGCCCAATTTAAGGTTGCTAATGAAATGTCTTCTATTGAGCAAAACTTTTCCTTGCGGGATGGTCTTATAAAATAAAATGGTGGCAATTTATAGAAAGCGATTTTCCTCCTTTCCAGTGAGCGCAGACCCTCAAGGTTATGGCCTATGTTTCGCTGGGCCGACCGCCGAACATATAGGCCTACAGCTAGGTTCAAAAAGGTAAGGCCATCTAACGGTGGGTACTGGATGAGGCATTTTCCTTCACCATTAGAAAGGTACAGAGTTGAAGAAAGTGAAAACTTGTTAGTAATAGTATTTTGAAGGCAGACGACCTCAACCCAAAATTAGAGTACAGAGAAGTGTTCTTCTTCTACACGGGAGTTTTAAAATAATGCCTGCTGCGGGGTTGAATCATGGAGGAACTCCTTCCTCCATGGTTGAATAGAGGGCGCCCAGGCTGGCTTTCATGCTATGCCCGGCATGTCAACGGTGTCACCCACTTCAGCCCAATTACCGAATACGATTTGCACTTTTCATGGTTCACAATAAAGTTTCAGACGGGATTACGGGGAATTCGGTCATGCAATACAAAATCAAATCTTTTCAAATTCGCTGTGTAAACACCACACAAGCACCGTGCGTTTTGTACAATTTGTATGTACGTGTACACACAACCGGCTCTTTTCTTTTCATGGTGGGGTAGCAAATTGAATGCGAGCCGGGCATGCTGTGTATTGAGCGATAAAAACCTGGCTTCTCTGGAATGTGACCTTTACTGAGCCTGGAGATCGCTAGTGCACTCGGTCCAATCGCTCCCGGGCCACACAGGGAGGCGCTGAATTTGAAAGTCAACGGGTTGTTAAAAACAAACCCCAGCCGTGCAGCAGTTCACCATCTTCATAGGCACTGCATCATGCAATCCATGCACGTTCCCGCATAGCAAGTTTCCTATGGCTCGATCAGGAAGACTTAACAGGTTCGGTGGCATTGTTTAGTTTGGAATAGAAATTGGTTGACATCAAGTAGGCACAACCATGTCATTCCTTTGCCCAAGCGTGGGTCTGCTACAGTTGAAGCTCAGGAGGTTCACAAGAACAGGTACGTAAACGGTACTATGAACACGGTGAACACATGGTTTTGAAAGATCAAAGCTTGCACAGGTACATTTATTTTCAGTTTGCACCAACCATGCTTCGATCTTGTGTACCTACAGCGTTCGCGTTCTTATGTATTGTACACATGTACAGGTATGCCTGTAGTCCACATGTTGACATAACAAATTGAGCACGTCCTCGTTTTAAAATCATGTAACGCTGACAGATCCATCATTTACAAAAGGGGACGCAGAAAATTGAGGTGAATTGGAGCTCAGTTTTGTCAAGCATGTTTCTGTCTTAAACCGGTTTGGAACAGAGGAATATAACAATTATAAGACAAGATATCCCTTTGAAAAATCGACCCGACTAAATAAATACTAAATACTAGATAAAGTTATTTATTCCCAAAATTAACAAGTTTGGGTTAGGTGGAGTCAATTTACTATTCTTTCATGGCGTACACACATGATTAATAGACGCTCGCTTCGATAATATTTTATACTGGTCGAGTTGGGCTCCGTTATCAACGGGGTGGGGAAGAGTTCCATATACGGACGCCAGTCATTATTCCCTACGGTGACCTATAGTATTATGCTGCAGAAAGCAAAATCTTGTCCAGAAAAGTTCAATTAAAAGGAGGGAACTAAAAACAAGTCGTCGTTTTTCAGCCTAGGGTTTGCGCATGGGATTGCAAGTGGGGCCCGTCTAGACTTTTGGGGCTTTCGCCGGCTTGGGTCACGGGTGGTTTTTCAAGAACCGAGACCTGTAAGCCTACAGATATTTCATACAAAACTACAGGGACGGTCAGTCAGAGAACACAAATCAATCTGACTTGACTAATTGAGATTTCTAAAGCCATTTATGTCCTTTATCATCAGAGGATTTTTACAGTCCCTTCTTATAGTCCCATCCACAGATACCCCTTTTCATTTTCCACGCAGGCCTTGCCACTTCAAGGTCTAGAGGCCTTCGTTCTAACATCCGAAATCGGGGCACCTCCGTCGCCTTCGAGAGAGCAGACAGTGACGTCTCCATTGCGTCACAGGGGGGTTTCAGCGCCCTCTACGGTGAAATTAATTCAGTCCGTCCAAACGAGGAACGAGACGACACCTCAGAGCGCTGTAGAGCAAATTGCGAGGAACGATTCGGTGGGATTTATATCGGTGAAGGTAGGCCCTACATGTGTTCGTGTACATAGAATGTCAGATTAAAACAGCACAGTCGCAAATTCTGCCAATCATTTTCTAGATCTCCAACTCAAGTTATCAAATTCCGTCCATCATTATGCATACTTTTAAAAAAACAGTTATACGGCAATATCTATTTTGCGCAAGTCAGCTTTTAATTTTTCAACGGTTTTATTTCGACAACCACAGCTTAAACAGAAGAAACGACTTCCACATTATATGTGTAATTATTTATTACATGTAATCATTTATGTAAACCTACGGAGATTCGAATAATCTGTTCCTTTAAATCTATGTTATCCATTTAAACGAACGGTTCTATTTTGTCAATGTCAATTTTAAAGATGGAATGTAATATTTAACATTGTCATTTTTGCCCAGATTCTGGTAAACCTCAGAAAACAGGAAGCAACACCTCAAGTTGCCAACACGCTCCAGACGTAGAATATTTTGCTCAAAATCCCGCCACTGTCCAGTCCTTTACTTTTTTTGAGGAGACATTTATGTCATCTCAGCATCAGCATCAGTGTCTTGACAAACTGATGGTTGATGAGATGACAAACGAAGGCGCACATTTTGAACAACGAACCCCACTCCTGTCGAATTCCTCCCTTCCTTCCTCGTCAAGCAAGGCCAAGAGGGCGCCTTATAACTTGCCTAACTGGGTCCGACAGCGGCGTTGCCTACCACGGCTGGACGAGGTCGATTTCGATATGATCGATGCGATCAGTCTTGGAAGCTTGAGTATCTCCCCGTCTGAGATCGACACTCAAGATGAGAATAACAACACAGCTATTGTCACGACAGGACTAGAGAATGGGTCAAAGGTCAATTCTAGTCGTGCAAAGAGAACTTACAGTGAAGACTCGAGTGATGGTGTTTTTCAAATTCAGAATCCTTGTGAAAGCCATCAGACAGGAAAGTTTCCACGCGGTGGTGTAGGAGACCGTTCCACGTACTCGCCAAAGAAGACAAAAACTTCGATGTCAACAGATAAATTGGCTTTCCAACAAAAACCCATTCAGGAAAATGTACCTTTTAATCCACCATCGAAACTCAGACCTGCAAAGACAGTAAGAAAGTCACCCAGTACGGAGAGCCTGCGCAGACGTTTAAAGAAAAGAGAGTCGCTTCTTCGACCAAAGCAGCTGAACAGTAACCTTAGCAACGCTAGGACAAAGACGTCCTTGAAGTCAAATAAAAAAACTCTTGACGAAAGTAATGGGGCAGTTGACCCAAAGGGCACTACTCAAGTGGGAAGTCTGGTTCGATCCAAGCCTTTGTACATGCGGGCAACGTCGGAGCGCGCACTGGATCCATGTGCAATGAAGTTGCGGCTTGAATCTTCAATGGCCAGAAAATGGCGCCAAAACGGGGACAGGTCACCCCTTAGCGAGGTCACCAACGTCAGCCAGCCGCAGGCATCTATATGCATGCGGATGGAGATCGTACAACGACCAGTAATGCGGGACGAGAACCACCGTAATAAAGGCGCAAGAAAGATACTGGAGCCCCCTCAGGGTTCAGGGAAACTGCCAGCGGGGAAGCTGAGGCCGACACCTCAGCGGTCCAAGTCGGCTTACTCCAAGGATCTCACCGAAACCAACAAGTCTTTTCCTCGTAGATCAACAGAAGTAACAGAGGACTCCTCTCGACCCATAAGCCTCAAGGAAGAAAATATCGACAGCCTTTTCCGCAGCAGTTGCCAGAGTATGCACGATATTTTAAACTCCGATACAGACGTCGTTGAACTAAGTGAACTTACAAAAGTAGTGAACCCAAATATCGACTCGGCTCTTATTTGTGACTCATATCACCAAGAAAACCCGGAGCAGGCCCAATACCAAGCCGACTCCTCGGGTCATATACAGCGACCACTTTTGGTAGCCACAAATTTAAAAGAAATTGATCATCAAGCCACACAACTTCAGCCAATTTCTGAAGAAGAAAATGCAATTGGTGATCACATGGTGAATGCAGAGACTGATGATCCTCAACCGCCGAAGCATCTCATCCACAAACCAACATTTGCCGACAACTCCGTTAAGGAAGCTCGTATTGTAAGCACAACCAAGATGGCGGTCAGTCCAAATCCAAATGAGGTAGATGCTTCGCTCGTGATACCGCCAAAAATGTTGAAATCCGCGTCTTTTACTGCACCGAGTAAGTCGAACGAAGGCAACATGACGTCTTCTAAGTCCACCACAAGATCGGCAACAAATGTCCGCGCACTGCAGACTCCTCTCACTCAACAACAGCGGCGGAAGGTGAGACGCAGACCCCCTGGCAACAAAAATGGGCACGGCCATCGCGTTTCGGCTGTGGAAGCATCCAGGGAGGATATCATAGAAGTCGTTGCCGCTATGAAAGTATCGCTGGACTCAAACAAAATCGCTCAGGAGAAAAGCAACGAAAGGCGTGAAACCAATTCCGTCAAGGACGCCCTTGGCGACGCTGTAGCTGTGTACGACTGTGAGGCGAGGCATGAAGATGACGTCACAGTCAAAGTTAGTGACGTCGTCACGGTGCTAAACAAGGACGATCCTGATTTGCTATTTGTAGAGAAACGCGCTGGTGCCAAGGAAGAGGGTTTTGTGCCGAAAAACTTCCTTCAACGTAAGAAAATAGACTGAATCGTTTTGTGACACTGAATGTTTAAATTAATCCAAAGCTTAGCTTCAGGTTGTTGAGGTCTTCTAAATAAGTCTGTAAACTCCAGGGTGGTTTCCCTGTACGTCTCGGCTTTACATGTAATCCGACTTCTGGCAATATCTGACAACTTATTGATCCAACAACTGCACGATTTAAAAGGCAGACAAAACCTGAGATTAGGCGAAGTGAGTGCATTTTAAAAGATCTACCTAAAATCTAGTGTGCAAATTGCTTCCTGTTAAATTGGAACTGTGGATACGACAACGAGGTAGCATCAATTCTAACTATTACCAGTAGTCTTGCACGATTCGTTCTTAAATATTGAACAAGCATAACCGATTTAATTTCTTATTCTTTCGTATTTTTCTACAGAAAAACCGACCTCAGATTTTCATCGAAAAGCCAGTGATAACAACTCAGATATGTCCACTGTAGAAGTTGATGAATCCGTCGACACGATCCTTGAGAAAACAGAGCTGAATTGTCAAGTTGGAAATTCCCAATCCAAAAACGTCCCTCAACAAAAACTTGCCACATTTGTTCCAGCCAATCAAATCCTTTCACCTTGCCAAGCAATGAGCCAATCAGGTGACATTTCTTCAGTAGAATGGAGTGACCAAGTAAGTTGCGCAGAAGCCCGTAGTCTGCATCATCATTCTTCAAGCCAATCGAAGATCAGGAAATGTGGAAGAAGTCATGCTGGTGTGCCTAATCGCAAGTTTAACACCAACATTAGGAGCGGGACAAACGCTGTTCTGATTGAAACGTATGTAGTGGTGAGTGATTATACAGAACAAGATGAGGACGAAGTGAGCGTGGTGGAAGGAGAAATCGTGGTGGTGAACTCGGACCAGCAGCATGAGATGGACTGGATGTGGGTATATGTACCTCGGACGGAGAGGTTTGGATTTGTGCCTGCATTCAGCGCCAGACCGTTAGGTTTTCATTTCTCAGACGTGTAATTACATATGTACATGCCTTTTTAAAACACATGTAATGCAACACATTGTACCACTGTGGTTTCATGTTCTCAAAGTTTCAGTAAAACGAATGTAACTTAGCTATTGGTGTTTATGTGTTTCGTGCAAATACTGAAGTGGACTTTTAATAAACATGTCAAGATTGGAGTTTGATGAAGAGGCCATCCATTTTCCAACATTTTCATGACTATGTACATATGCTTTTGATATATATCAATAATGACTATAATACAAAATAAAAAAATCATTTTCCCTTTTTTTGTACTCCTTAGGCAGGAAGTCCGACTCCAGAAAATAGTACAGTCGAACTGCCTCATTAATAAGAGGTTGTTTGGACTTGGATAATCACCTTATTATAATAGGCACCTTGTATTATGAGGAATAAAAACAATGAAAACAAAGGATCGGGACCCCAAAATTTCCTTGTTCTAAGCAGAATCTTGTATTAACAGTGCTCGTCTTAACGAAGTTTGACTGTACACATGTACATGTACCCTTAATGCTCGATATAAAATATATATATATAATATATGGCCCCCTGATGTCGAGAGATTGAATGAGGACAGCAAGCAAGGATCAAAGTACCTAAATTAACATAGAGTAATACTCTAGATTTAATTTTCCTGATAGAACATTTTCATTGCACAACTTACACAGTTTTGTTAAACAAGGAAGTTCGTTCTTAATTTTTTTTTTACCGTATCCTACGCAATAAGATTTAAAACATACATGTTTTAATATTCACAATGAGTAATCAACAAAAATTCATCGTTGTCTAATTTGCATTGACGTAAAAGCAAGATTACCATAAACATGTATATGTATATCGTGTACATATATTTGCAAGTTATATTTAGGCTGCTTCCGAATCCGTTGTCTAGAGCTAGGTCTAGGTCTTCACTCCATTGAAAGTACGTGGAGACGCGTAGACAATAGACCTAGCCGTAGCTCTGGAAGCCGGTTTCGGACACGGCCTTACACTACTAACGATGTCATCATTCTACATCTATAGAGCCTTTTGCGGTGATTTGATGTCAAAGATTCCATCAAATCAAATACTACGCACGAGACATTACTGTATTTACTATGGCGTGGATCCCCATAGGAGGGATATACTGTATTCCCACTTGTTGTTCAGGAGATGAGGTATACAGTTAAACCTCGACGACAAAAGTGGTGTTCGTACAACATCCTGCATAAAACAAGGAATGTTTTATTGTTTGTCTTCCAATATTGACGATCATGTTTCAACAAGTATATTCGTAACGTCCCAGCACCTTGTTAGAATATTTGACTACATGTATATAGAAATTGACAATGAAATGAGACGATGGACATTTTAACTGTTTATACTTCAATATACATTATATCGTTCGTAATATATGTATTTTTCTCAATAAATAATACACGTATTCAGTTACCGTTTATACGCGCAGTTAACGTGCATATGCAATTATACATTAAAAAAATTAAAAGTAGCGATTCCAATTATGTGCAGCTCAAAGTTAATTATCTTTTACTACCTTTTTCTGTGTGTATTGTTCAAAACATGTTTGTAGTATTTTCATAAATATGTCAAATAACAATACTTTAATAATACATATATATAGCAAATATCTTAGAATCATTCATAAATAATGCAAACATGGACACTTACGAGAGATAGAAGTATCATTTTATAAAGGTAGAATGGTTGATGGATGTACTTATTTTGAATGATATTAAGCAGATTTGACGGTTTGGTTTTAAATTATGTTGTCATTACAGCTGTGATATAATCGGTCGAAATACAAATTCTTAATTTTGGGATACAATGCTCAGATAATCATTATTGCAAAGGTAGACATATTTGGAGCAATGTGTTACAGGTTTACACCCCACATGTCGAATTTCGTTGAAATGCGTAAGGGTAGGCCTTCCTGTAAAGTTCAGTCGATGACTTTGAACCCACATGGTCATGAGTGTCGATTGGCTTAAACGCCAACTGTGCGTTGAACTTGCTTGAAATGCAGCATTGGTTGACCGTGCTAATAAACGGGCGTCGTTGTACGACTTTCCACTCGACATATATCTTGCCAACTACATTGCAGAAGTCGATGTCAAAGGATTTAGGGGGGGGGGGCTTTGAGGGAAATGGGACCCGAGAGTAATACGCCGCGAATTGCAATATGGCGACTTGTACAAACCGACTTAGAAATAAAAATTCTGATGGAAATGCATCAGAGACGATCGGGACTTTCGTAAGACTGCCGACTTGGGCAATTTGCCTATTCATCAACAACTGTTGACTCAACTACAGCATAAACCAAATTGTGCTGCATGCCTCATAACACGAACCAAACGCTTCTCGCACATAATGGCCACTCTTCCACTAGCTTCCCATCAATTATAAAATCATGTACAAACCAATGCTTCTAACGTATCGCTCACTACATAACACGTCTCCCCCACACTCCTGTCTCCATACAATTCCGGTCGTTCAGGTCTCCGGTCTGCTAACCAGCATCTTTCGGCAGTACCGAGATCGTTCTAATCCTGGGAAACACATCATTCCGTATCGCTGCCCCACGTCTATAAAAAATACATGTAGTCTCCCCTTGAACATGCAGTCCAGCACATCTCTCAGCTCTTTCAAAACAGAACTCGAGAGATACTTTTATAACCTTGCTTTCGGCGCCAGCTTGTAAGCAAATATATATTTTTTTCTCTGTACATATTAACTGCAATTAATTTACTTTCACTTTTGTAGCGCCATGAGCGCCTTTTTCTCAGGTGAATTTGTGCGTTTTATAAATGCTCTTCTTATTATGTGCGCGATATTGACAATTTATGTAGCCGAAAGCTACAGTACTTTTATTTCCAACGTATCCACTGTCTTAGTGGGCGTGGTCTCAGTTTCAAGGATGTCACTGTAACGAGGGAGCTACGCCAAAGAGATAGGCCTAGGCCTACTGAAGAGGTGATTTTTGTAAAGTTTCTTTTAAGTTAGTGGTATCGTGATGACAATATGTGAACATGTATAATTTTTACTCATGTCACTCTTGACACAGACCCCACTAGTCCAACTTGTATAAATAGCGAAAACATTGTCACGACAACCACAGTTTCCCTTGCCTGTTTGCAAACTACAGCCGTTGAGGGCGTCCAATCGGTGACGTTTTCTACATGTTGGTTGACGTTCGCGCTGAACAAAGAGATGTTCAGAACAACGGGATCGGGTGAGTCGTGATGAATTGTGAACTTTTGGTTTGAAGTGGCATATCCGTACTTAGAAACCTGTGTTAAAGAGGGAAGAAACGTTTTTATTAAGGCCTATGCCTGTTTTGTAGACTGCGGGTGGTCGATGGATTGGATGTTCAGTAAAATCGATTGGTTTAGCCATGCCTATCTTTGAATTGGTTATACTCCATCTTCAAGAGATCATAAGACACACGACTTACTAGCAGCGTGTATGAGCCAGGGAGGAGTATTTTCCAATACTCTCCCAAAGAGGTAGTGAACTGCGGATGGGGCGACTTGAGTTCGACAATCGATACACTAGCGCCCTCTATCGGTCGGTTGTCAGTGTTGAAAACTTGGCCCTTCACGCCTGTAATAGATAAAACAACATTCAATTAAAACACTTCATGTTACGTGTACACGTACATCAGAAATGTGCCAGTGCTTGTAGCCTTCTACGTACATGCACCAGTATTACATGTTTAACACACAACTTTCTTGAAACGCGTTTGAGTAGGCCCTGAATTTTTTTAAATACATGTGTTCCCCCTTGATTCACGGGGAGAGAGGTGATTTCTCTCACAACAAATAAAAGTTAATAAGATTTTAGACTCTGGACTGAGTGAGACTCGGAAAATCGGATTTTCATTCCTTCGGTGGGGAGCGTTTTCCAATTCTGAACAGTCGACGTTAGCCCTACCTCTGTTGGCCTGTTTCAGGAATTCCAGCATCGGGGATCTATTCTCCTCCCAGTACGCCCGAAGCTCCGACGCGGCCGGATATTTACAGCAAGACATCTCAACGGTGATTTCCATGCAACCTCCGAAGATGTAGTTGAAGTCTTGCATCCCACCTAGAGGATGGAAGACGCCACTTTCAATATGGGAGGATTTTTGTTGGTGAGGGTGGTTTTTTGGAACATTATTTAATTTATATCTATGGGGAGATGGGCATTATGGTGAGTTAGTTTAGAACACTGAGAAGCATCTTATAATTCTTTAAATGTTGATTTTATTTTGATTAACAATTAGGCCAACCAGCGCCAAGAATCTTGTACATATATACGCTTTCTTGAGAAAGCCGCTCCGCTAGCGCTACAATCTCTTCTCCAAGCCAGGAGCAATAGGGAGTTCTCCTCTCCAAGCCAGGAGCAATAGGGAGTTGAAACTTTGGCACAATTGTGACTGAAGATGGGAAAATTTGAAGTATTCGTTTCCTTAGCCAATTAACCACACACTGCGTTCGGATGGGATGATTACCTTCCTGTTCGTAACTTGTCTATATCCTGCAAGAACGGGGATCTTTGTTTCTAACCTTCGGCTTCGTCTCCGGTTCAGTTTTAGACTTCAGCTTCGTGAATACGATCCTAAAGCTGATATACCAGCTAACACAGGAAATAATTCGTTCTAACAAGAACCCAAATTGTGGATTATGGAATATTACATCCGAGTTCAAAAAGTAAACCTCTGAAAATTAATACAGGAGCTCGAGGTGAGAAGCCGAAACTGAGACGAAGCTAAATACAATTTTAAAAAATTGCCTTGGACATGCCCACCTGCGACTGAATACCAGTCTGCCCCGTTGGTAATCCCATCCACGAATCCAGTGTCGGTGTTCGGGCTGCAGATGTTCTCCTGAACCAGATGCATCCTGGGATGTGCCTTTGAATATGTCTTGGCCAGGAATCGGAACACGTCATCATCAGGACTCTGGTGATACGCAGTGTCCATAGGCCGTTCCGTTCCTGTTGATATCCGTGAAAGATAAACTTGTTTATCAATTTCCAACAAGGCTGTATGATCACCAGTTTCAATAACAATATTTATATGGAGCTGTTGGGGGGGGCAACAAATCAGACAGTAAAATTTCCAAATCTCAGCATAATAATTCCTCTCTCGCCTATACCGCACCAGGTTGCCCCGTGTCGTAGGGGTAGTTTGCCACGAGTGCCCCGCCGTGGAAGTTAGCTGAAAGAACGAACTTGTTCCCGTGTATCCAATCGACGACGGCCTTCGTTTCGGGCTGAATCGGGTCGACAGTCGGCTCGAAGTAGTCTGGGAAATTGCGGTTCAAATCGTACCCGTTGCTGTTGGCTCTGAACAGGCAGTGGTGAAGAAAACAAAAATCTTGACCCGACTCCTTCCATAGTATTTCAAATTAAACGAACGCAGACACCCACGAACACCTGAACATTTTCCTAACTAGTTCTCAAACCTATTTTCATGGAAAATATTTTCCTAACTGAATGGTCTCAAATACCAACTTACGAGAACGAAAAGAAATCTTCATTCACTGACGCAGACCCACTAGTACATCCAAAGTGGAACGTAAATTCAATTCGCGGGAAAACCATGCATCTCAATCATTTTTTTTTATCATGAACTGGAATCTTTTTCCAAAAAGAAAAAGAAAAAAGAAAGAAAAAGAACAAGGAAAGAAAAGAAACCCTTCAACATGCCTGAATGTAGTTGTTATGTTCGCTTTGGCAATTTGGACAACAACAAAAAAAAACTACCTCAGATCAACACCCCTGCATCTCTGTTTGGACACTTCGAAACCGTCTGGGTTCATGGAGGGCATGATGTGGATTCGGGTGGTGTCCATCAGTTTCCTTATCTGTGGGTTTCCACCTCGATATTCCTTGAGGAGGTATTCGATAAGATGAAGAAGAACCTCCCTGCCAACAGCCTGAAGGCGAAACAGTTAAGGAAAAAAGAATCCGGCGTGGTCATCAAGGCTGTTGTCAATATAGACCCAATTAGCAGTTACCAACGCAACATTCCCCTCGTCACATCATTACTTTCGTCATTACTGTGCAATCAGTATTTAGAAATGTTAAAAGAATATACAGCAAATGGTTAGGGGTCATAAGTACTTCACGTAAGCATAAACGCAGTGTTATTTCAATTTTTCACAATAAAGAGGGGTAGATTTGAGTGATAAAACATGTAGATGTATGACATCTTTACTGCTCAGCAACATCATCAGATTGACCCTTGTTGGTTACAACCATAGGTGACCCACGTTTGACATCAAGACCTAATGAGGGCTAGTGCATGTAGAATTTTTATTGTAAAAACTGGTCTCACCTCGTTTCCGTGCATATTACCAACGTATTTGGCCTCCGGTCTGCCTATGATGCGACCGTGTGGTTTCTTACCCGCCACGGCCACTGCCCACAAGTCTCTCCCTATAGAAAAGCATTGAGAAGTTATCGGGAATTGCGGAAGCACGCTCGTGAGTTTACAAGACAGATTTTACTGCTCAGAGGAAGGCGCGGTTTCCTGAGCGGAAGGTCACATCCGTCAATCCCCAAAAGCCCATTGTTACTCTGCTTTCTTCATTTTGCGCAGCATGCATGGATGCAGTTAATTTTAATAATGAAAAAAATACGGTGCGGGATTCCTTTGAAGCTCAAATTGAGGGGAGTGAACAGACAACCTAATTTGATTACAACTTAAGAAATCACATGATCTAATTCCATTTTAAGAAGCCAGTTTCAATCTGCTCACAGACATCTGTTCAAGTTCTCCATGAATACATAGACCACGTATGTCTAACTTTGGATGTTTTACATGCGACAATCTTAGAACTTTAGAAGTAAACAATTTGGCAGTTTCTCCATTCTTTGGCATTAATTTAAAAAACATAAAAATTACAGAGTTAAAAAACTTCTTTATAATAACTGGTAAAAATTGTAATTTTCAAACCTTGAACCGATTTTCCAATGCTGTATATGTGACTAGTATCTGGATACATGTTTGTCAGAGACGTCATCACTGACGTCAGCTGTGCATGGTTGTGGTATTCAAACTTGACAATGGGTAGGGCACAAACTCCACATGAAATCACGAACAGAAGGAAGTGAACAGCCCTTCCTGACGTCATGACGGAATTACATTCATTAATCTACAGGAAAAAAGTGGAAAAACAATTGTCGACACCATTAAACAGTTTGAATGCAATGCAGTGGCATAACGGGGGACCGGCAGCTTTTTGTTCTCCCGTGCAGTTCCCCCTAACCCCCCCCCCTTCCTTGGAAATCTTGAAACTAACACAACCGACACACAAGCAAAGGATTATGCTTTCGGTGTGTGACGCGGCGTACGCCCTACCTGAGAGTTACGCCGCTGCCAAGATGGCAAAATACAGAGCCTACCATAACAAGTTAAAGGCTGGAGATCATAGTCGGGCAAATAAAAAAGGTCCAACCTTTCCAAGCAATCTGTTAAAGTATCGAATTACAGAGGAAAGTTGATTGACTGATGGCGGCGAAATAGCAGATTTCGTCCAAGATGGTCGAAAGACGCTCACGGTGACGGGTGGTCGATTATTTCCAACACCCATCACACCAAACACACACATCGCAAAGGTTATTGGCCGATCTGGCACTGTCCCTAAAGCTATATCACGAAAGCAGATCACACCGTGCGCTCAAATGTACACGAAAAACTTCCAGAGCGAAGAAAAATTTATCATGGTTACTTGGATTTATGACCGGGTCAAGGCGCTAATTGAGAAAAATACTTACATAATCCACTTACTCTGAGGGGTGTCAGAGATGACCATCTAGACTTCTTCCTCATGCCGATGGTATACACGTCTCAAGTTCACGTGCACTTCAAAACCCATTCATAATTTTTTCCACCCTAAGCCATAGAAATAACAGCGTGACAATTTGCAGGAAATGGAAGATTCGCCGGTTCCAGACACCACTTGCCACGGCAAGGCACTGTGGGCGCCAGCGATGGTTAGACCCAAGCGCGTTATTAATAGTGAGCCGAAAAATGACACATTTCCGAATGGTCAACCAGGCCTAGATCCTGAGACTAATTACTACCGGGCAAATGGCTGTTAGGAACAGACGGAAATTGTTCCTACAGACCTCGACTGACGTGGCTGTGTCAGTCCTTCCTGATTTGTCTGGCTTCCTCAACGCAATTGTGTTCCACATTCATTATTGAAAGTTATAACACACGAAGTCACAAACCGAAGCCACAGGCTCCGTAAAATAATAGTGTTTTTATTCGAGGATGTGCGCCCAGGCAGTTAATGCAACTGTTGCATGAGTCATGTCCTATATGAGGACTGGATTGCTAAAGATCGGAAGATTTTGCCTGAGCTTTGTGCCCACGGGTGGCATTTGTCAGCGACACAGCATAGATCTCAGTCAACAGGCTTCAACCACACCCTTCTTCAGAATAAACTCCGTGAAGAATTTATGAAAGTTTAATCAACATTAATAAACGTTGACATACCAGGGCGGATCCAGGATTTTCCCGGGGGGGCATGATCTACGGTTTTCCAAGGGGGGTGGTAAATTAAGAGCACTGATTGTATATTTTTGTCAATGGTAAAATGAACGCGGGCGCGTAGTGCAATTCCCTTATTTTGGATTCTAGACGCTCTGTGGTGCGTTTTCAGGCAGTATTGCCCCTCTTTTTCCTTCTCCCTCCTTCTTTTTCTCCTTTCCTTCTTTCTTTCTTTATCTATTCATTTATTTTGGGATGAAAAGGGAGGCGTCACAGAAAGGAAATTAACTCTCTTGGGTGGGTGCACTACACATTCCCTTATTACATCGTAACACGTTAAAAAAATGCACCAACAGTTTTCATTTTTGCTTGGGTCTTTGTTGTTATTGTTGTTTGTGTGTGTTTGAACTATATGATATAGTATTAACGAAAGGAATCAAGGTTACAAGGTTGTTTCCAAAGGAACGGCCAACATGAAGACAAAATACATACATACATAC